TGTTTAAACTTGTTCTTCTAAGCTGTGGTAGGAGGTGTATATATATATATATATATGTATATATATTTGTGGTATAGTAGGTAATACCAGCATATGATATTCATGTGATATTTGTGTGCTCCAATATGACTCAGTCTTATATTGCTTTCATAATTTTTTCTTAGATACACTGTTAAGAGTAGATCTTGTTAAACCTTATTTTAATGTTACTATCTTATCTCTGTGTTGAGCTAAAACTTATGGAACATCTTATTAGTTATGGTGTGGGAAACCTCCCAGTTACAGTGTAAACCAGAGAAAAGCAATATTAAGAAAGGTAGGGGTTTTTTTTGTCCAAGTTTAGTGATGTATGTAAGTAGCTGCCTACACTGATGCTCCAGTTTGCCTTTCACAGATGGAGGGAGATTGAGTGTGGCTCCTTCAAACTCAGATGTGCATTATTAAAATAACTCTTCTCCCCAAACTGTCCATTAATTTTAATCTTTGGTGTCACTAGAACACATGGGCTTTGAAGCAGGACACGGAAAAACTTCAGGAGGCATTTGCATTTTCTCCTGGTTTTGTCCGTTTATATTAAGCAGTTATTTCTTTAATCAGTGCTGCTATTGGTCTTTCATTGTCTTGACTGGCATCCTCTGCCATGGTGATATAATCTCTGTCCCCGCTAGATTGCAGGCTGGCTTTTGTGGGAGTTCACCTCACCTGCTGACTGAGTTTCTGTGTGCTTTATAAAGGAACAGCTCATAAAACTTTTTTTTGTTCTCTTCCTTGAGCATCTTCTAACCCAACAGTCATGTTTGTGTGGTGGAGCTTCTCCTGGACAGCAGAGGGTATCTGAAATACAGTTATCTGGGTATCATCTGAGAACTTGCTGAGAGTTCACTCAATCTGACTGAATTCTTACTCAAGACATTAAACAGTTTGTTTTGGACTAAGTATTGATCCTGGAGGTACATGGTAGTCACTGGCCTCTAGCTGGACCTCACATAGCCAAAGAGAACCATTTCAGTTCAGCAGTCCAGACAGTTTGCCACTCATCTCATCATCCAGTTATCCAGTACACATCTCATAGATCTGGCTGTAAGTTGGGCAGGATTGTTCTGAGTAAATCTATGCTGACTGCTCTTGGTCATATTCTTGTCCCTCCAAGTGGCTGGAAGTGGCTTCCAGAAGGATTTTCTCTGACATCTTCCAAGGGACTGAAGTGAGACTGATGGGACTCTTGTTCCTTGGACCTTTCTGCTTGAAGATGAGTGTGATGTTTGACTTTCTCTGGTCATCACAAACCTTTCCTGATCACCAAAACCTTTTGAGGATGATAGAGAGCTGCCTTGCAGTGGTACTGACTAGCTCCTTCAGTACGCCTGCTCACATCCAGTCTGGTCTCATTAACTTGAGTATCCTTCTGGATGAAGTGTGTCCTTACACTATGCTCCTCTCTTGTTGGCACTGACTCATTGCTATAGGCTCCTTAGGGATGCTCAGGTGTCTTGGTGGCACAAAGATACAAGATGTCACTAGTGAAAACGGAGGTGGAAAGAATATTGAGTACATAAGCCAAGTTCTTTGTAATGAGGTCTCTTGCCTCTTTGAGCAGTAGGCCAACACTTTCTTTAGCCTTCCTTTTACTGTGTGTCAGCATCTGTTGTCATTCACATCAAGTAATATTAGCTGCTTCCTAAAGGTGCAAAGAATTCCAGTCCATTCATGAGGATTGTGAAGTTCCTGCCAACAGGAAAAGGTTAAAATGCGTGTGTTTTTTTTAATTTGAATTTTAAACAAAACAGAAAACCCAATGGGGAGACATAGAATCATGGAATATGTGGAGTTGGAAGGGATCAACAAGGGTCATTGAGTCCAAGTTCCTGCTCCTCACATGACTATGTAAAACAGAACCATATGATTAAGAGTGTCATCCAGACTCTCCTTGGACTCTGACAGGCTTGATGCCAATGACCACTTTCCCAGGGAGCCTGTTCTGCTGACTGACTACCCTCTCAATGAAGAAAATTTTCCTGATGTCCAGTCTGAATTTCCTGTGATGTAGCTGCCAGGAGGTCACGCCTCACCGTTCTTTTCTCCAATCTGAACAAACCAAGTAACCTCAGCTGCTCCTCTTAAGTCCTGCCCTTGAGGCCTTTCACCATCTTGGTCTCCCTCTTCTGGAAACACTCAAATAGTTTGATGTCATTCTTATACTGAGGTGCCCCAAACTTCACACAGCACTCAAGGTTGGGGCTGCTCTGGTGCAGTGAAGAGTGGAAGCACCACCACTTCCCTTGACGTGTTTCTTAGTGCAACCTGTTTTGTAATACCCTTACCATTTGTACCCAGGTATTAAACTGTGAAACTAGGTGGTTTCTTTTGGCCATGTTTCTAAGTGTTATCAGTACCATGTACTCTAATCAAACCAACGGTTGAAATGCTTGAACATTTGTGAACAAGTGCATCTCACTATCTGCTTTTACGTGACCTGTTACTATCACCATTGATTACATGAAAGTCAGGCTGTGAGATTATCTAGACCTCTATTCCACTCCAATATAGGTAAGCTGAATCTTTGCAAGAACAGCAGAACTGTAACTAGAACTTCATGCTTTACATATTGGTGAATTCAGAGTGTGATTACATGGCTGTTTAACCTGACTTGTTTAAAGCACAATGGCTGTCTTGCCTTGCTTCATTAACACCAGTGTCTTATTCCACCAGCTTGTCTGATCCCACTGAACTGTTGACTTGTGGAAGAGACTGAAGAGAGGAATTAATAATGTCTGTGTTTCTTTGTGGAAGCAGAAAAGTAGCAGCTGCTGGTGGTCTTGGCTGCCTGGCGTAAGCATGTACTGCAGCACTATCCTCAACATACTGGGATGTACTGTTTGCAGCTGTGAGATTGCAGGGAATTTAGACTGGTGAAGGGAGGAAACAAGTAAAAAAAATACATATAGCATGGCTGTACTGGAGAGCTCTTGCTGTGCTTTTGGTGACGCTGCATTCTTGCTGCAGAATTAGTGGCTTGCTGAGATAAGCTCATTCCCACCTTTTGCTTTGTGTATCCTTGACTTAATATAGCCATATGCATATACATGTGCATGCATGCTCACAGGCAAGCAGTTTATGCTGCCAATGTGTTAGTGGCAATGGAAAAGTAGGGACTTGCTCTGAAAGCTGATTGAAGTATATCTACCAAGCTGCACGTTTCTGTGTTTGACTAATGGGAGGACAAAAGGTAGCTACCCACAGCAAAACTTGCTGTAATAATTCTTTTCCACCTGGATATGAATCTTTTTGTCATATGAGTGTATGAACAAAACTATTTTGAGTCAATAAAATACCCGCTTAAACTCTGTAAATAATAATAATCTTATGTCTGCTTCTTTCTGAAGGTTTATTTGATTTTAATGCAGTGGATATTTTCTGTGAAGATTGTGGTTGTAAAACATTTCACTGAGTTTAGTTTTAGGGAGAAAAATCTTATTTAACCACCCATTTGCCTTAAGTCTATGAGAGGAGATAGGGACATGCATTTTCTTTGTCTGCTGCACAGGTGTGTGGCTACAATTTTTCCTTGTCTTTGTTGCTAATGATTTGTTAGTTTCTGCCTTCTCTTGCATTCAGCTAGGCTGAATTCAACCAAAAACTCTTGGGGAAGTTGAGTCTAAAAAGTATTTGTCAGACTAAAGGAAATAACTTATTGTGATTCACAATAGCTAGTTGCTGTCAATATTGCCATGATTACAAGAAGGTTGCCATTGCTTTTGCTGAGCTGATTTTGGAGAGAGTTCTGGCTCCTGTCAGGGTCTGGTTTAGGTATCTGAGAAATGGAAAGGAAGAACTGGGAAGAAGAATTGCTACACGTGAAATCCCACCTCACAAAATGTTTGAAAATATCAGTAGCTTTAAAAGATTTTTTTTTTTCGTGTTTGTTTGTGAGGTTTTTTTAAAGTTTTTGAATGCATGAACTTGGGGTCAAAGAAGGAGAACAACTTTACTACCTTATTCCTCCCCCTTTGAATTCTAGCAGCAATGTGAAAAGGTGATGCTCAGCTTTCAGGCTGATAGAAATAATTTCTTACATAGACATGCCCCATAATATTTTCCAAGATACCATATAGTCTTTTGAATTAAGTTATCTGCAAGAAGTTTTATTTAGACCAATGTTTAAAAAAAAAATAATTAAAAAAATTTAAATCCTGGAGAAGAAGCTGTAGGCAGTAAATGCAGTATTGACTTGGAGACATAAAATGTGAAGTATATAAGCCTACATCCTAGATATCCCAATTTTGCACTTCCCATTCCTCCTTTATTATGATGTGCAATGAGGTATGTGATGGGGTCAGTTTCTCCCCATCCTGAGTATCAAGAGAATATTTTGGTCATCTGAAGAGGCAAGGGTGACCACACAGGGCATCCACATAATCAGGTGTGCCATGGGAACCTCTGGAAAGACAGAGACATTCCCTTGCAGATGCAGAGCTCTGCAACTTCTCTCCAGCTTTGTAGGGCTTTTCAGACAGTAGGTAAGCTGTCTAAAATTTAGGGGTTTCAAACTACAGATAAATGAATAGTTGTGCCAGGAAGCACAGTACAGTCTTCCTTCACTTAGCTTTAGTTGAAAGCAAAGTCTGCTGCATATATATATTTATGGGGTATCAGCAGTTCGCAGAACTTTTAAATGGGATGAACTTTCAAATGTACTAGATTGTTCAGGACAAGAGAATGAGTGCTAAGGATGTACATGCTGTGGCATGTAAGGAGCCATAATAAACCAGGTTATGTTGTTTTCTGAGGAGCTTGAGTTGTATTTGTGTGAAAATTGAAATATATTTTATTTCCTTATCAAATAGAGGACAGCAGTGTCATTCTCTGTTGAGAAGAAACACAGATACAGTTTGTTCAAGTTCTATTCTCCTATCAGTGTGATTTGTTAGTGCTTAGGCAGGTGAGGCTCACTCTATTTCTGTTGGTAATGTTTGACTGACGTGCTTTCCCTCTTGTGACAGATCATGGTAATGTCAGATGGCACATCATTCTCTTCAGGACTGAGCCTTCATCTCCCCAGCCTTCCCAGTAACTCCTTGCCTTTTTCTGAAGTGAAGAAAAAATCATCTCATGGGCCAAAGGTGAGACTTATTTTGCTAGAAGTTAGTTAAGCCAGTGGCGCTTGCCCTGGGAATTAACTTGAGGAAAAAAAGGTATTTCTAGGTATTTTTGCAGTCTCATTATATAGTCCAGAGATAATAGGTCTTGACATATCTTTGTTCTGAACTTACTGTTCATCAGAGGAAAATAATGAAGAACAGGGATGATTGTAAGAATTAGGTGCCAATGGCTTTTGTAAATGCAGAATTGTTTTCCTCCTTTCTCAGAAGGAATTCTAATGGTCTGTTGTAGTATTAGTGGAGTCTGCTGATGGAAGTTTAATCTATAGAAGTGAAAGAATATGAGAAAATACTATAGTAATAGATTAATTTATGAAGTGTCTTTGAACACTTTTCCAGATAATTATATGGAATAAAATTTTGAGCTAGGTTCTTTAGGAATTTTAATTTTGTTTACATTTCAGGGGTTAATTCTTTACTACTGTTTAAAATATAGTGATGCATCATTAGTCTCCATGGCATAAAATTGAGCCCCCAACCTAGAAAATGATAAAAGGTATAGTCCCATGAACCTTTTGAATTTGAAATGGACCTTTCCAAAACAGCAGATAGTTTCTTCAGTTAGAAAAAGTGAATTAAAGGTGTGGGAGAAGAAAGACCGTCTTACTACTTAATCAAATAAGAATTGCAATGCAACAATTTGCTTTGTAAATAAAATAACATACATGCCTTTTCTTCATTCTTTTAAATTGTTTAGGTTTTCTTTTTTTTTCTTAGCATCTTGTCAGTTTGACATGTTAGTTAATTTTGCAGTGCATGTACTACAGTGGGCAGTAACCATTGTTATCAATGACTTTCATGTTCTCCAGCTGTCACAAATCTTGTAACTACTTGGAAGAACTGTCAGATAATGACTAATGGGTATGCTTAAGTGTGTCCATTGATAAGCATGTGTCACAACAGTAAATACACATAGTGAGGGGAGGGGGAATAAAAGTTCTTTGACATGTTTGTCTCTGGTTTGCATTGTACCTGAGTGCCTCACAATCTCTAATGCAGGTCTTGCAACATTTAAAGGATATATGGATGTATGATTATTTTAATTTTCCTAATGACGAGCTGAGATATATTGAATCTCAGGATTAGATTGAAGGTGCTTACTTTTAAATGGTAAAATGAATTATTAATGCCTAAAAGGAAGGCACCTAGCTACACCAGGTGCTGAAGCAAGGTGCTAAAGATAACTGTCTGACTGGTGAGGCTATGACTCATCTCCATCTACTTGGCTACTGAAGATAAGTTATTTGGACACTTTGTCATCAATAATAGGGGTTCTTAGGAGGTTGGTTAGCATTCTGGAGTTCAGTTTCCAGTCACTTGCTCAGATTCGGCTGTAATGTTGATTAACCCATGTCTTCCATTGCATGCCAAAGCAGCCATAATGAGGGTTGGCCTAAATAAGCAGCCCAAACACCTGCAAAAGGACTTCAGTGAGGTACAGGCAGGATACCAAGTCCCACAGTCATGTTCCATGTAGTAACTGCAGACCATAAGTCTTGAATCTCCGGAGAAAGTTTTTTCATAAGCAAACAGTAACCTGGGATGTAATTTTCTGAATTGTACTCAGACAGTGAAATTTTGTCTGGTGTAGAAACATAGCAAATGTAGAGTGTGGTTGGGGTGATGCAGAGTGAAGGGACTGTTGCATATTTACTGCACTTACAAATGAATGTTTGACATCTTTCATTTTTGTGAAGCAGCCCAGCCACTTGCAGTGAGTTTGACCCATAGCAGGAAGATATGGGAGTCAGTAGGAGGTTAGATGTACATCGGATCTCAAGATGGTCTTCAATAGCTGAAAAATCATTGCCTATTTTAAAATATAGCATTTTAAAATAGGGATGTTCAGCAGCAATGCTGTCTCTTTGAAATAACTTTTTTCAACCTTGTATGCTGTTCACTGCAGATTTTACTGGTTGGAAGAGATATTACGTGAATGTGCTGGCCCATAGGTGTGATTATTTAATTTTCCCATTCCCCCGTCAATCTTTGGCTCCTGTACAATTTAAAATGCACACTATTGAGCAACTGTCCTTTTGTCTCCTAGAGAAAGAGTTGTAAATAGCTGTCTTGCTGAGTCTTATCAGCTGTTTTTGAGGTATTGAAACACCCACTAACATTGGCTTTAGTATAACAAAAAAGTTTGTTATGTTGTTTGTTTTTTTTCTAATAAGTTCTAGATGCTGAGAACCCTTGGATTTTTATCTTTAGGATTTTTGCTTTAATTGGTGACAGGATATTTCCGGCCAATGTGTAAATAGATTTTTAGTTTTCTTATCCATAGCCCCAACGATGCAACAACTGAAGTGTCCACATTTCATTTAGAGATGCCTCTAGAATAGTAGCTGTAGAAAGGTCTTGGTAGTTCTTGAGAGTATAAATAGTTTATAAGTGTGTGTGTTTGTGTTGTGTGTACCCCAGGTATCTGTATAGGATGATTTGAGGGTTTTTCTGCTGCAGCAATAGTCTTTTGATGTGCTTGGTTTGTCTTTGGTTTGTTTTTTGTCTTTGAATACCAAAGTAAACTTTGAGGTCAGTTTTAAACGCTTAGTATGGAAAACCAGACCTAAGAATATTTGCTTACCTATTTGCCAGTACAAAGCACCACAAAGACACTCTGGTCAAACAGGAACTGTAGTCAAGACAGTAAAACCACTGCAACAAAGCGGTGTTACTGATTTAGTATTCACTTAAAAAAACCCCAACAATGCAGAATTGCCAGTTTGCTTTCTGTCACATCCTCTTCTGAACTATGTATTAAAAATTATTTAAAAATTGTATTTCTGAAGATCTGTGATTTTGTATTTAATTTAATGGAGATAGTATTAACAAGCCCAATTAGTGTGAATCTAAAACAAAACTTTGGTCTTGGAAATACAGACTACAGGCAGAAATGCATGAAACCTTACTTCATTAATTTTTTTCAGAATATAAAGATAGACACAGGCTAGCTACAGATACTGTTGCTTTTAGATCAGTTTTACTACTGTGCCTTTGCATATTATGTAAGTACTACGTGCACAGAATAGAGAAACTGATTAGTTCTGTTGGGATGATTATGTCTTGTGGAATGAGCTGTGGTGTCAGCTGCAGTGAAATGATGTTTACTTTATAAACAAAAACCCAAAAGCTCTTATTTCTCTTTATGACTGGTAAAAAAAATATTGTTCTATGCTTCCCCTTTTGGCTTTCTCTGTCAAACCAGTGAGCCTTGTCATTCTCCATCTGCTTCTATTTCTCCTGATGTCATTGGTTGTAATAGTTGGTGGGCTGGACAAACTGAAGTGTGGAAGCCTTTGTAAATGTGTGATACAGTAATAATCTGTAAGAAGAACTAGCAGCTGGTAAATTCATCTCCAGCATTCAGCTAGCAAGTGGAAGAATACCACAGTATTTGTGGAGGCTTTCAAAATGTTTTTGTCTTTCTCCCCTAATCAGTTAGTGTTTTTGTGCAATAATAAAACATTTGTATTCAACAGAAATCTGAATTTCCTTGAGGAAGTAATTCCTTTTAGAGGTCTTCCTCCTCTTTTCATCTTAAGAGCAGCACGCATATTTGGGACTAATTCCAGTCCACTGGCTCAAGATGGACACATTGTTTCAATAAGCAAACATTTATTTGAAGAAATGCCTTTCTATTACAAATTAAAATAATGCATGCTTTTTTATGCTCACTAATACTAAATTTGTATACTAAATAATAGACTGGGATTGCTATGCCAGTCAGTGTGTTCAGTTTAATTACTTGATAAAATTTAATGAACCACCTCTCTTTGTGGATGGTATATGTCTGTATCATATCTCATATGCTTGTACTGTGATTTCTATGTAAACATCAGCTTTCATATTGTACAAAGAGGAAGGAGGTCTCATTTTAAAATTGAAAAGACAAAAAGATCTCAAGTTACTATTTGTTTTAATATTATTTTAGTATTATTGCACCCAAGCACCTATTTCAGAGCTCTCGTCTATTGGAAAACTACTAAAATGAGTCTCTCTTTTTTGAGCAATTTAAGATATGAGGTAAGGAGACCAAAAAGAAACATGAAGACTCCATTTAGTTTATTAATGGCACATATTTTATTCCTTCCTAGGGTAACTTGTAGACTCCTAGCATGGTAGAAAAAGATATGAAGATAAAAACATTAATAAGTAGTTCATGTGTCAGTCATCACATGTGTCATGTGATGCTGGTCTTGCATCAAACAAAACATGGAACATGTAAAAAAAAAATCAGGAAAAGACTTTTGACTAAAGTAAAACATTTCAAGGAAGGAATAGTCTTTTTAATTTTTTTAATTTTAATTACTAGCCTGGGAAGTGAGGAAGTGCCTTACTTTGTCATTCAGTGTCATCATAATATTGTTCATCATTGATGCTTCTGCCTGTTATTAATGTTGATGCAAATATAATATATAAATATACAGTTAGATTTCCAAATTGGACTTAAAAATACATTTGTAGTACTGATGCAAGAAACGTGAAGCACAGTTGAATAATTCATGCAGCACTATATGAAAATTCAGTGTTTTACCAATTAGTTAAGATAATGAGAAGGGAAAAAGAGTTAAAAGTAATTATTTTTAATTAATTGTTTCCATCTACTGCTACAGAGGATATGGGAGTTAATCTGCTTTTTGTGCATGTGATGTGTAAACTGTCCAGGTTATGCAGCATTAAATACTGGCTTAGTACATCCTGATTAGAGAAGTCATCAGTAGTTAGTTGTGTGCCAACAGGGATCGCACAAGTGGATGTGTTCTTGGTCTTAATTTCTCATCTTGTTGACACAACTTTTATTGAACAGGCTAATTCCGCTTTATTTTATTGTGAGGGTTTTTTTCAGAGCAGTTCTAACTAGTTGTATTTTAAAGTCAGCTGCCGTGGAGGTTGTACTGCTCTGGTTGTTCAGTTTCCAGCACACTGCTGCTAACCCGTCTGCCTTGTGGTCATGAAGTATTGGGGAAGAAAAGCTGAATGTGTTTTCCCCTCTGCAAGTTCTGTAAACCTCTGGCAGTGCTAGACAGCCAGACATACTAGGTCTACATAAATATGAGGTTTGTACTTTTAACACCCTGGCTGGCAGCTGAGCCCCACACAGCTGCTCACTTGCATCCCTAAAAGGGGATGCAGGAGAGAATCAGAAGGCTAAAAGTGAGAAATTCATGATAGACAAACAGTTTAATAGAGAAATAAAAAACTGCGAGTATAAGCAAAGCACACCAAGGAATTAATTCAAAACTTCCCATCGGCAGGCAGGCATCAGCCATCTCTGGGAAAGCCAGGCTTCAACACATGTAACAGTTACTTGGGAAGATAAATATCCAAGTTCAAACATCCTCTCCTTCTTCCCCCAGCTTTTATTGCTGAGCACGACATCAAACAGGCTGGGATATCCCTTTGGTCAGGTAGGGTCAGCTGTCCTGGCTATGTCCCCTCCCAGCCTTTTGCGTACCCCCAGGCTCCTTGCTGGCAGGGCAGCGTGAGAAACAGCGATGGCCCTGACACTGTGAATGCTGCTGGGTAGCAGCTAAAAACTCCAGTGTGCTTTCAATACTGTTTTCAGCACAAATCCACAGCATAGCCCCATACAGGCTGCTATGAAGAAAATAAAGCCTGTCCCAGCCGAAACCAGTACAAGGGTCAAAACTAAAGGAAGATTCTTAGCACTGTGAAATCCTAAGTATGGATCGCTGGAAAAGAAAGCCAAGCTGGGGGTTTATAGATGCATTTTATAAAGATTGAAAGCATATCCAGTGTTATGTAGATGAGAGAATTTTGGGCACCACTTTGCTCAGCATCTTGCAAAGGACTTGGTTGAATAACCAACTGAATTATGAAAAGTCAAACCTGGAATTGCATTTGTAATATTTGTACTGACTAATATCCTTTTTAGTAGTTCCCTGTTTCTGGTAGTACTTTCTTTGCATAAAAATTGTATTAGAAGAACACTTTATTCTCAGTGTTATTCATAATCATCTCTTTCAATGAAATAATTTGCTTGTAACTACGGTTTTTAAATTATGTATTTAGGACACCCCTAATTAAATATATTCTGACTTATGACCAGCACTGTCATCTTTTTGTTCTAGGAAGGAGTGATTAAAGAGTCTTGAGCTTTAAGGTATATAGATGCCAGCAAGTAAGATGTGAGCATGGGAATCTTAACCATAGAATGCATAGTCCATATAATTTCACTAAAGCTATTCCTGTTCTGCCAGTCTTATCTTCACTGATCGATTATTTGAAAATTGCAGGGTGTGATACTGGCATGGCATTTACTATCACTTAGGAACTGTCTTGCTTTCAAAATGTGTTGGTTTCCTAGGTTCATAGGCTAGTAGTCTTGTGGGTTTTCATCAGTGTGGGTTCCTTTTTGTGTTATTTCAGCTTAGTATTGTTAATGAAATCCCATTAAATGTAGATCTATATATAGATTAGGATTTTTACAAATTTCACAATACATCAGGTTGCATTTTTTTGGTGTGGTGTTTTTGGTTTGTTTGTTTTCCCCAGAGTTTTGGTGTTTTCAGTTTTATACCATTTAAACCTCTATTCTAGGTGAAAGGAGAGGAAATCAATGGGTATATGAAATACATTTGTCAATGTGTTTCTTTCTAAAAGTTTCTCAGTTGCTAGTCAATATGTAGGTAGCAATGCGTATAATCAGCTTTGAAGAAAGTAAGCAACCTAAATTTTTTAGCATAGGTTCCTGTAAATTGAAATGTCATTTTGCAGATTTGAAGTGGTGTAAAACTGAACCTTGTTTCTGGAGAGAATGCTACAGGTATGTAGTGTTTGTAACAGTGCATCTAAGCTTCTGTGTGTTTTTGAGATCCTGAGCACCTACTGCTAGCAGTCTTAATGAAAGTGGGTAGTGCTGCAGCTCTCCACATCTTTTGAAAATTCCTGGGTGTTAATTCTCAGAAGAAAGGATCCCATACAACCTATTCCAGATGGTTCAGTACTCGTATTGCCAGTTGAGCTGCAGATCAGAGCTTTCTTTGTCACTTCAACTTTCACATTCACCTGAGTGAGGAATGATACTGCTGTGCTCTTTCTGCTTTTGCGTATCGTCTAGGACCACTGAGTCATCACCCTCTCAGAAACCTTCTTGCTTGTAGAATTTGAATTAGAAAAAATGCAATTAAATTCTCAGTGGACACAGCAGCAATAAATGCAAATAGTTTTTTTATGAAAATGAGGTTTTTCCATAAAAAGTTATTGCTGAGATGTTGCGTGTCAAACCTAGTCTTTCATAGCCAGGCTGGACCCAGAGTTATGTTGTATAAGGAAAAAGATTTTGTAAGAGCTGGAGAGAGGATCAGAATAGAGAAGTAAAAATTCACCTGAAATATCATCAGAAGTGAGAGTTGCTCAGGTCCAGAAGAAGTTCTGCTGATGGTCTATGGTTGATATACTGATCTTCCCTTATACTGTTGTCCTGGTTTGAACCAGGATGAAGCCAATTTTTCTTTTTACTGATTGGCTTCATCCTGGCTCAAACCAGGACAACTGTTTGTGTTTTGTTTTGCTGATAACTAATGGTCATGGTAAACATTTCCTAAACTGTCTTTATCTTCATCTTATGATGTTTCTTAAAAACCTAATTCTAAAGATAAAAACTGATTTGTCTTTAAGATATTAACATGCAGTGCCAACTGCTTATATTCTGCTGCTTGGTAACAGTTGACCAAAATGATGGGGCTTTTATCCGTTCTTATAGAGGTATTTGCAGTTTCTGGTTTACAACCTGAAGTTCAGAGGTCTTAATATGAATCCTTTGTCTGTATTGTGTCTTTTGAGGGCTTTAAGTGTTTTTCTTTGTTGTTGTTGTTGTTGTTTGGTGGGGTTTTTTTGGTTCATGGAGGTTTTTTTGGTAAGTAAAACTTATTATCTCCTTTCTGCAGGACCCGGCTAGGATTCTGAACACAAATAGCAGCAGCAGTAGTAACAGTTTTACAAAGACCCACAAGTTAACAAAAGAGCACAAAGAAAAAGCTTCAAAAGACTCAAGAGAACATAAAAGTGCCTTCAAAGAATCTTCCAGGGAACATAACAAATCTTCCAAAGAATCCTCTAAGAAACCCAAAGAAAACAAACCACTAAAAGATGAAAAAATAGTTCCTAAGATGGCCTTCAAGGAACCTAAACCCATGTCCAAGGAGCCAAAATCTGAAAACACCCCAATCCTTACCGTAACTTGTGGGCAGCAACAAGAAAAGAAGACCCCTACAAAAAGGCCCTCTGTTCTGGACACTGATGAAACTTCTGCAAAAAAAAGAAAGAAAAGTGGCTCATATTCATTATTTAAAAGTTTTTCTAGTGACCCACCACTGATTCTTACTTGTTCAGCTGACAAAAAACAGACAAAGGATAGATCTCAACCCAAGATGGGGAGAGTCAAAATTGAAAATGATGTACTGGAAAGGAAGACCCCTACTCTGCCACCGTTCGATGATATTGTAGATCCCAATGATTCTGACATGGATGAAAACATGTCCTCCAAATCTGAAGTAAGTGGTATTTGGCTTTGCTTCGTATGTATTGAGTATTCCCAGTCTATGGGCATGGGCACCATATTTGTATTTTCCCCTTTCCTCTCTCCTCTGTACTGGCAGATTGTTCAAATTGAAGGATCTCGTCTGCTGCCTGTTCAAACTTCATGCATGTTCTAGTTGAATTGTATTGCCTATTTGAGTCTGCTCAATTTATAAATCTGTCAACATGATGACAAATGAGCATATGGTACATAGCTATAAATAATATTGTTCTTTTGATCTTTTTCATTTGAATTTCATGCTTTTTGTGAGATAAAAGTAAATTGATTTGAATCTTTTTATTTCACACTCTTAAGTCTGTGTTCAGGTGTTAAAAGAACTCAGTAAATTCAGGAATGGGTTGCAGTAAATCAGAGTGCTGTTGTTTTTCTACTAAAAATGGCATTTTGGTGAATTACTCTAGTTTTGTGGGGGAGGACGAGTTCCTAGAATCCTCACTGTGATGGGGAGAATCTATCCAAAGTAACAGGCTTACCCAAGAAGAAAAACATGGAAGAAAATTATGGAAGTTTGCTTTCCTGAAAATATTTGTCTACCATACCTGCTCATCTGTTTCAAACATAATTTACTCTTGACTATTGGATTTTAATAATTCTCCCATCAGACTTCAGTTTTCAGAAGCATCTTTCATAGAGTGATGAGTAGAGAAGGAAAGGAAGAGGAAGAGAAGCTTGTTTGGTGCCTTTATTTGTGCTTATGGCTGGAGGTAGTGTGCATGGTAGAGAGGAAGTCTTCCCTGCCATTCCTGTTCAATTTTCCCACTTTTGTGTTTTCTGTTGTTCCTCAGTTACTGCAATCAAATTCATAGCCCTTCTTGCCCTCTCTGGAACAGACGATAAATATACCCTGCTAGGAGGAAGCATTAGGTTTTTACATCATAGGAACTTGCCACAGGAGAGAAAGGAATTTCTTTCTGAAGTGACCTTTTAATGACTAGTCCCTTAGGGCATGCAAGGGCTATAAAATTTACAACGTATGTAATAAGACAAGCTCTGCTTTACAGCGTGGCACTGGTGATATTGTGGT